GGCCTCTTCTTAGTTTTGCCTTATACTCACAGGCCTCTCCCTCCCTTTTTTCACCTCTAGGGCCACTCATCCAAGTTTCTGCAGACTAGTCTTATATTCTGTTTGTTTTCCACTCTCTTCTACCCGTTTTTCCTTTTGTTTCTTTTCATCACTGGTCCTGAGCTCTGCCTTCTCAATTCATGGTTTCTTTGAATCCAGTTATATAATAATCTAGTGGTAGCCCACAGAAACTTCTCTGTATCTGTCTCTTCTTTGGACATCCTTTTACCTTCACCACCATTCGAAAACACAATTTTCCAACAGCTTCATTTTCTCTTCCCAGAAATATCAACTTAACATGTCAAACTTCTGTCCTTAAATTATCCTTCCTCAGCTTCTACCTCAGGGATTCTGTGTTGTTGCATACCCTGAACAGATCATATTCTCCTTCAAAGTTCCTGAGCTACTCATTTCTGTGAGTTTTAGCCACCGTCATCATCCTCGGTAAATCAAAATTTTAACAAGGGCATATCCACATGAAATAATTTCAGCAGAGTTGCTGCTTGTAATATTTTCACTTTGTTATCTTTAAAACAAATAAACCCCCAAATTTATCTTAATCATTTTCTGTACTAGGTTTTACAATCTATTTGGTGTGATTAGCATGGTTAGTTCAGTTAAAGCTTGATGAATCAAGAACAAAAATGATAATTACTGACTAAGCACTATACATGATGTATGCAATGTATGTGTAATATGTTACTTAATGTCAAATGCAACATTAAACTTATGAGATATATACCAGTTAAAGCACTTGACCTCTTAAAAGAATTAAACAACAACACAAACTAAAGCTAGGAAGCCATAAAAATGTCTTACTCCGAAGGTTTTGTTCCCTTTCTACCACAATACCCTACTTTCTTAAAGGCACATACTTAAAACCTACTGCTTACTAAGATATCCACAGACTTTTTTTCCCTTCTCTTTTCCTTATACCAGAATTAGACACATTCAAGCTTTTGAGGAAAGATGAAAAAAGGAAATACATTTGAAAATAATAATGAATTATGAATGACAGGATAAACTATTGAAAAATGCTCTATCATTTACGTAGCATAAGATTTAATGACGAATGAACTCAGGGTTCTTTGAGACTATTGCTAATAACAATATTATTCTTGTTGTTTTGTATGTGCTCCAATTTTTTAAAGATCTATTTTAGCTATTTTTTTTATTTTAGCTATTTAAAATGATTAGAATTTACACCAACAAACTTAACTAATTGCATCTGTATTTCCCTCCTGTTCTATGGAGAAATAAGATAATCACAATTACAAGCCTCTCATATTCTGTAAACAATTTGAGTTCCAAGAGTACACTAGGTAGTTGTTTGGGGTCAGTACATACTTTCCCACTGAGGTAATCTAAAAGGACAGTTTTTGCTCAGGCTAGAATTTTCATATTTTTAGATCTCCTGTTCTGTCTAAACTTCCAAAACAACAGCAAATAAATAGATAGATAGATAGATAGATAGATAGATAGATAGATAGATAGATAGATGAATGAATGAATGAAATAAGTGAATACAATAAGACATGGGAGTAGAAATTGATTCACTCCAAGAAGAATGTTAATACTATTTTACTACACAATTTCTGCAACATGGTGGTACTAGAGATTTACAATTTAGTAGGTAAAAAATTCAGTAGCAAAAAGTTGACTTGACAGGAAGAAAAGCCATCCTTAGCAGCCAACCACCAATTTCCTCAATTTTCTCTGTTTATAGTTTAGAATCTCTTTTCCCTATATTTCTAAACAGATTGTAAAATAAAAAAGAATAATGTGATAGTTTTCATGCTCTTTCGCAGGTTTATGATGTAAAATATCAACTTTACCCCATCTCAATTTAACAGATTCTAGGAATGGCTTTACCTTCATGAGTACATCTGCAGACCAAGTAGAGACTTGTTTTTGTCCTATTTCTCTACTAATTTCAGTGATAAATGTGTTTTATACATCATGCCACATCTTTACTTTGAATTTATACACAAGTGTGAGGTGATGCGTTTTGATACATATACCTGTTACATAACATTCGAATCAACTTTAACATATCTTGTGAAACATTCCACGTTTCTTCATGCTGAAAACCTTTAACATGTTTTCTTCTAATGTGTGAATGTTTTTGCACGTGTATGTAGGCTGAAGTCAGCTTCTGATATCCTACTTTATCATTCCCCACCTTGGTGTGTTCGTTTGTGAGATAAAGCCTCTTTCTCTGAACCTGGAGACCACTGAACGTTATTTTCTGTCTCTACTGCCTGCCTGGCCAGCAAGCCCTAAGGGACCTCTGATTGCTACCTCCTCTTGTGCTAGGTTTACTCACAGGATTGCACCACCCTGCCAAGAAATTTACATAGGTGTGGGGGATCTGAACTCAGGTCTTCATTTTGCCCAGTGGGCAGTTTACACACCAAGCCATCTTCCCAGACCCTTCTAACTGTTTGGTACATGCACCTTATTATTTTATGTAGCCTTTGTGCATGCAGTTAAACACCAGGACTTCTTGCTCTTGTTTGTTCTCAGTACCTACTGCCAACCTTTCCCCTTCCCCTACTCAAACATGCTGCATTTAAAAAATGATTTCCCAATTTCAAAAGTTCCATTTTTTAACATACTGAGACTACTCCCATCTTTTCTGCCATTATACATACCTTAAGGACATCCTCTCAGAAACTGAGGTGTTATGTTTGGGCAAATACATTTTAGGTTTTTCCCACCCCAATTCCAGGACATTTCTTACCTTCTTTCTTCTCCTGCTTCTGTCCCTTTGACAAAGTAATAAATTACTCTAGATTTAAATTCCGTTAAGAATAGATAGAATTATTAGAATTATGAGAAGAGGACTCAGGGCACTGTTTTAAATATTAGCATAATAACGCTGTTTATTCCCCTGTTCAAAAGTTAACTTTCCAAATCCTCTTCTGTGTATAAGAGATATCATAACATGTAGCTGAAAACAAAAACTCGTGATCCATAGAAAAAGCTAGATTGGACCCTGAGTTGGAGAAGCATTCAGCCTGTGGTCTTAATCTTAGTGACCAGACAGCTGAAATGACATAAGTGTTACATTCTCCTTCCTTTTCCTAGTGCTTTGTACCACCCCAATGTCTAGTGATGGTTTTCTGGCTTGATAAGGAATTGCATGACTATACAATGACAAATAGACAAAACCAGCCAAAATAGTTCAAACTTAAAATTCATTGTTCAGATCCCAATGTAGATTGTGAAGAACTACCTTCCAGAATAAACAAAACAGCTTGAGTTAATTTTTTAACTAATTACCAAATGATAGGATAGTGATTTTTTTTTGCATTGCTTTTATTGTTTTAATATTTAGTTTAGTTTTTGAAAGAGGATGCCACAAGGGATACAACTTATCATCCTAAGCACTTGAGGAAGAACAAGATCTCATACTCTCCACCTACTTTTGTGGGCAATGACTATAACATGTGAACTTAGTCCTAAAAGCTACTCATTGGTAGCGGAAGTATTCCTTCCAGAATTCTCAGGAAGGATAGAAAAACAAAGAAAGAGGAACGAGTGGTTAGGGGAGAAAAGAATAGACAACCAGAGAGAGGAAAATAACACGAGCTGTAGTTTATTCACCTTGTAAAGCTTAGTCCCAACACAATTTTATGCTATCCCTGATAACTTCACTTCACAGTCATATGAATAATAATATTTCATTGACCCCCTTCCCCAAGCTAGATAAAGCGACCACTACCATCTTAAAGTAGTTCAAACAGTACTTATCCCTGGGCACAGTCATAAAACTCAATCCAGCTAGGACTGCAAGAGACTTCTTTGAAACCTGGGAGCCCTCTATGTTCCGTGAACTTTGCCGTGGGAACCGCATGTGTACGAGTTGGGCTATGGACATGGTGCAATAAAGGGCATTGTTTCGTTGCATGTGTGTTGGCTTCTTCTTTTCTCATTTGAATCCCAGCAACCAACTATGGTAGAGTCAATGGATAGTGAGATACTAAAAAAATGGGGCAGAACAAAAGCACTTGGGATGAGGCCAAATATACACTTGAAATATCAAGCAACTGTTGCATGTCTTGCTTTTAAACACAACTATTTTAAGGGGGTTGCTACATGTATTTCATCCTTCTTGTATCTCACTCCTAACTTTATATGCTATTGCTCCAACTGGAGAAGGAAGCAGAATTTAGATTCTAGTTGCCACTCTCTAAAATAACAGGTAGCCAGGAAGGTCATTAGGAGTGAATCCCGAGTCATTTCATGCAGTAGCATGGGATGTGAGCACCCTTCACCCACTCCCCAACTCCCACCTCATCATACAAATGTAGTAAAAGAGAGGAAAGAGATTATTTACCTGCTTGTATTGAGGCTGAGGCCTGAAAGTCATGTAGTCATGTGTAACCTTTGAAGGACTGGTAATGGTTTTAATCACAGGGATAGCATTTTTTTTTTTTTTTTGGACAGGCAGAACAGAGAAAAGAGCTGAACCACACTGGAAATATTAATGAGGCTATTTTGGAGCAATGGCTATTGCCTATGAAATCTCTCATCATGAGTCTATACTTAGAATTCAGATGAACCCTGGAGGGAGGGGCACAGGGCAGTGCTAACTCCCGGCTGTTTTGAAGTTGCCTGGTTAGCAGGTCAGTATCTAAACTCTCCAAAATGGAAGCACCGATTCCTCTCGGTGATGTGGCTCTGTGTGTATTTTGTTCTAACCTGTTTGTCACATCACTCTGAGGGATGACATTTCTCCGTTTTCTTTCAACTAGATGTTCTAGTGAGAGCTAGCTGTAATCACTTTGGGAGACTGATGCTCCATGACAGCTAAAAGTTGGATTGAGTTTCAGTAGCTACTATATATAAAGCTGGGTCGACTTATGTCACCGCACTAATTAAATGCCATCTGGGTGGCTCCTAGGTTTTTGAGTCCATCACCCAGCTCAGAGCAGTCAGAGGCCAAGGAGGAGAACATGATGATGGACCTTTTCGAAACTGGCTCCTACTTCTTCTACTTAGATGGAGAAAATGTCACTCTGCAGCCATTAGAAGTGGCAGAGGGCTCTCCTTTGTATCCAGGGAGTGATGGTACCCTGTCCCCTTGCCAGGACCAAATGCCCCAGGAAGCCGGGAGCGACAGCAGTGGAGAGGAACATGTTCTGGCTCCCCCGGGCCTACAGCCTCCCCACTGCCCAGGCCAGTGTCTGATTTGGGCTTGCAAGACTTGCAAGAGAAAATCTGCCCCGACAGATCGACGGAAAGCAGCTACACTGCGCGAAAGGAGGAGGCTAAAGAAAATCAATGAGGCCTTTGAAGCACTGAAGCGTCGGACTGTGGCCAACCCCAACCAGAGGCTGCCCAAAGTGGAGATTCTGCGGAGCGCCATCAGCTACATCGAGCGTCTCCAGGACCTGTTGCACCGGCTGGATCAACAAGAGAAAATGCAGGAGCTCGGGGTGGAACCCTACAGCTACAGACCCAAGCAAGAAATTGTAAGCCCAGATGCCACCAGGGCAGGGAAGTGTAAAGGCTAATTAAATGCCTTCCTGAGGCCTTAACCTCCAACTGCTTGGCGCTCGCCAACCCCCTTCTTGCCTGGCCCTAGCCCTCTCTAATAAACCCCCAGTGACCCGAGAAGACCGAACCCCTGCCCTAAGCAGGAAATGCGGTCTGGCCCAAGGAAGCAGAGGAGACACCCCCTCCCTGGGCCCCCAAGCCTCCTCCTTCCACCACCCCTCACGCCTTACCCCCCCACCCCGGAATTTGTTTCTTTCCTAATCTGTTGCTTTGGTTTTTCTTCCAGCTGGAGGGTACAGATTTCCTGCGCACCTGCAGCCCCCAGTGGCCAAGTGTTTCAGATCATTCCAGGGGGCTCGTGATAACTGCTAAGGAAGGTAACAAAAGAAAGGGCACCGGGCTGCTTTGGAAGCATCTGGCTAAGCACAGCACAGAGGTGCTCTGGCCGAGCAGTGAGCGCTCAATGCTAGCTCAGAGATGCAGGGTCAAAATCTGGCGCTTTTTTTTTTTCTTTCTGTTGGGGATGCAGTCCTCCCGCTTGGCCTTGGTGGCCTTTTGCGGGGCACTACACGCGCTGTCTGTGTTTGTTTCCTGTGTTCAGGGGGAGCCAGCGTGGATGCTTCAGCGTCCAGCAGCCTTCAGTGCCTTTCCTCCATCGTGGACAGTATTTCCTCAGAGGAACGCAAAGTCCCCAGCGTGGAGGAGGTGGAGAAGTAACTCAGCCAGCATTCACTCAGCAGGAAGACCCCTTTTCGCCTAACCATTTAGGTTAGGGCTCACAGACCCCAGAGTTTATGAAAGGCAAGAGACACATTCAAAAGGAACGCTCTGGCCACCTCAAGTGAAAGAAAGTCCTTCACTTTTGGGATTTCACTATGATTGCTATTATTATTATATTGGAACCGCTAGTGGCTTAGCTCGAGAATCCTAATTTTGTTTTTAGTCAGGTTGTTTTTTGTAACGTATTAGCTTTTATTACAATCATGTGACCCTTTCGTGTCAATTGCAAACGAAGTTCATTCCTGTCTAAATCAAAGTGGGAAAGTTTAATCCTAATGGTATTTAATGTACTTTTGTAAAAATAGTCGTAGTATTTTCGTTTTTATGCAAACCTAAAGAACATATTTTAAATGTGGAATCAAGCATTGTATATAAAATGTGTGAAGATCCTGATATTGTAATATTAAAATATTAATAAGTTTCTACATGTACAAAGGTGGCCTTAATTTGATTTAACTGGGGGGGGAAAAAATAACAACCATGAGGGCATGAGCACAAAACTAAAGAATAGCCATGTTTTAACTTAGACCACATATGCCAACTTATTGGAGGCTTTTTTTTTCAGCCTAATTTAAAAGGAAGAAAATGAGTATTGGGCCATATTCTCAATTAAACTGGACACTCTATTTTTCCATGTAGTTCTCTCATTTGATATTAGTAGGGGGAAGTATCCAGAAAGCGTCTCTACTCTCCTTTCCATGGCTTTTTCTTTTTCCTTTTCTTACTATTCTATAGTTGGTGATTTGAGTGGGATCTACTTACTTTGAATTTTAATTTTAAATACACTAAAATCTTTCAAACTTTCCAAAAAGGATTCTTTGTTCATTTTCCTAAACTATATCCAATCGATTTATTTATTTTCTCCCACTTCTTGGTGTTCCTGGTTGTTTCCAAGTGTAGCTCTGAAGTACCCCAGAAGCTGCAACTGGCCTGATACCCAGTTTTCTTGAACTAGACTTGCCCCCAGCAGACTGGAATATCTTCAAGTGCTCGTTGGTTTGAGTTTATTTTCCAAACAGAAAGATAAAAGGAGGCAGCAAACTGTCACTTGAAGAGGGGTGGGTGTCTTTGAAGGGCGGGGAGATGCTTCAAGAGATGGAAGGGTTAAATGGTTGAGAGCAAAAGACAACAACAACACACATGAAACCTCTTAGCTGGACCAAACAGCAAAGCCCCAGAGAGACCAGGGAGCCCCAGGAGCTCTACTCCATGAAGATTTTACAACGTGTGCCGCGTCTGTTTATCCTGTAACCTCAGGGAAAAAATGACCACCAAGAAACACAGCGGGGAGGAAAGCCGAGCAGAGCATGCCCTTTCTGCTAAACTGTGCCTTGTATCTAGCGTTCTGTAAATGGTGCCTTCGCTGCCACCCACACCTCTGTAGCTCAGATGTAAAACTCAAACGGAATCCAGCATTTCCCAGCTCAGCTCCGTGTCTAACCTTCCGTTGAATAACACAGACATTCCAGAGAGCACTACAGGCAACGCAGTGTGCAGACAGGCAGCTCTCTTTTGTAACCTTTTAAAATCCTTCCTGGCATATTGAGAATCCCTTATCCAAAATGCTTGGTATTGGAAATATTTCCATATTTCCGAGTTGGCGATACTTGCAGAAATGTTGAGGTTCAATGTCTCTAACCCAGAAATCCAACCAAAACCTGAAATATATTGAGCATGAACTGTCAGTAGAGGGGTGGGTGGGTAGGGGGAAATATTTGTATTTTGGAGCATTTTAGATTGGGGTGCCCTGGTTGTCTCTGCTCTATCTGTAACTAATTTATTTTCCGATCATGTGAAAAAGTCTGGATTCTTCTAAAATACTTCAAAGCTCAGAACGCTCAGTTGAAGAAACTCACATTGGCATATAATTCCTTTTTAAAATGTTTGAGACAAGCAGGTGGCTGTGTTGTTTAAGAAACTACTGAGTCTCTGTCAGGCCTCTTTACCTAAACTAAATCCAGACTGCTACTGTATAACCCTAGCCAACTCTGTTCCTGTTTAGTCCTGATTCCCCTGTTTATAAAATAATGGGAGGGAGGGTACTCCATGTCTCATGGGCTTGTGAAAAGTCACAAAACTAACACATGCTAAGTGTTGCATCAAAAAAGGGCAAACTGACACTAATATCAATTCTTTATACTTTATATTAGTAAATCTCAATTGGCTATCAAGAGGTATGTCACCCAAATCTGTAGTTTCTTGTCTTCGCTGACTCCGGCTGGGGAGAGTAATCATACTGAGGAAAAGGATAAGCCATTCTTAGTTTTGTATTAATGTAATCCAACTACAACCATCAAAAACTGCACTTACTGCTTCTACTTTAGAGAATTCTTTGAGTGCAAATATTTCTCCATCTGGTGAGTATAAAGTCAGGACTCAAAACTAAGGCACATTATCAATGGCCAAAAGACTATGCCCTCAGCTACTTTGCACCCAGAAAGAGAAGCCTTGGCAAAGATAAGAACATCTTACGGTCTGTAGAATCGTTTGGCTGTCTCTGACAACTGTTTCCACAAACTTCCTTCTCAAAGAGCAGCTAGACAGTAAACTTTAAATTACATCATAACTTTCAGATCTAAATACCAATGCAGTCACTAGTCAAATTACCCAACCAGAATATGTGTAACTCTAACTGGGTGCTCTCAGTCTTTATTAACAGTACATATTATATATGTTTGAATATTTTTGACATCTAAAGGATTTGCTCTAAAATGTTTTTTTATACCAGTATTTTCAAACACTGAATTCTTTGTGCAATTAGCATATCATAACTGGATCTGTTGAACATATTTGCCTTAGAATTACACATATTTATAATAAGATTTGTAATGTGAAATACTCTGCAGCAGAATGCTTTTATCAATTTATAGTCTTTCCTCATCGATGGATTTTAATCAGTCTTTGCAAACCAAATCCTCTCTATCTTTCTTAGCTACGTAACTTGAGAAATTGTTTAGAGTAAAGTTGCCCATGAAGACTCTTCATTAAATAGAGAAAATATTTTCCAAAGAGTTCATGTGACCCTCAGTGCTATAGATGACATGTTAGGCTTTCCAATGAAATCCTTGGTGTGTTTGCGATTAAACTGTTTTTGTTTGATATTAATGATGATAATCTTTAACCGAGGCCAAAGCCAAAATAAACAAGGCTATGGAAGCAGAAAATTAAGACGTAATAACTTGGTAAAGATAAGGACTTTGGGATTGAACCTAAATCTCTTCCCAGAGATTCATATAATGTCAAATATTAAATAATGAGTGGTTTTCAGTTATGCTATTACTGAAAAAATTCATAGATATCAAATATCAATAAGCTCTCTCAAGCCAACTTTCATCATTGTACCAGGATCATGGACTTCTAAGCCTGGACATTGGGGATATTTGCTCATGTCAAATGATCTCAGTTTTCTGTAAAACTCTTTCATGAGGTTCATTTTTTTCTTTTTCTTTTTTTCTTGGTGGGGAGGACAGAAATTCAGGGGCTCTTAACAACTAATAAGAGGAGCAGGAAAAATCTAGATGCTGAAAGTCACTTATAAAGACATTCCTCTACCATTTATGCTCACCCTTTGGAAACATTTATCTCATTTCTTCATTTGGAGACCCTTCCTTTCACATTACCACATAAAGACTTAAAAAGCATGTGACTTTAAATATTATGTATCTTATTGTCTGATCATTAGTAACAAGCAATGACATGGTACTTCCTTCCACAGAATCCTCCATTCAGTTCCACAAACTAATTAAATCTTTCAAAAATGATCCTCAGTCCTAGAGGATTCTATCTACAGAAAGAAAGTGTTTTGCAAGCCTGATTCCTGTGACATGAAATGTCCTTGCCATGTGCAGCAACAAAGGTAGTGATGAAGAGACAGGCTACTTTCTCTCCTCTCAAAGCTGCTAAATGTCCTTACATAGTCCTTTGATCTCTCCTGGGAGTCTTCAAATTCAAGCAGAGGCCACCGTCTTCCTCAGCTGTCTGGTCCACAAATTCTTCTCACAGCCCTGGCAGGTACTAATGTGTTTACATAGGTGTGCCCGGCTCCCAGAGCTGATCACAATTTAAAATTGTTTAACACATTGGGAAGTCATCTACAACAGGCAGAACCAGAGTTCTGCAGGTAGGACCAGAAGTAAAGAGAAAGGCCTCCTTCCTTTTGTGCACACGCCTGCGCATGGCTGTGCGCGTGCCCGTGTGCATGTGGACATCTGCCGTTGTGTCTGTGTATTTTTTGTATGAACCAAATATACGTTTCCTATACTTCCATTTTTCATTTCCCCGATTTTGTTTTGTTCTGTCTTTTGCTATAAGGTTCACTCAAATTCCACACTTCTTTTCCTGGTGTGTTCTGGGAAGAACACAGAGCAAAGAGCCAGACATCTCTGAGTGGCAGGGGAGACATTGGCGTCTCTCAGGAGTGGGTTTTCTTCATGTTTTGCAGACTACCTCGAGTTTTTGATCCCCCCCCCTTTTTTGTGGCTGTGGCGATGTCTTAAAAGTTTCGTCTCATTTTTTATTCTTGTGTTCTGAGATCCTATTTTCAGCACTTGAGTCCCATGGGCCCTCAACCTGGACCCTCTCTTCCTCAGCAGCGCTCATTAAGCTGCCCCGGCACTTATGTTTTCCCTGCTTCTTTAGTTCCACTCTGCCTGCTGCTGCACTCTGGCAAATTTGTTTCTGCGATCACCTTACCAGAGACAGCCCTAACCTCTGAGAACTCCTGTTACTCACAAGGGCCCCTGAGTGACAACCGCTTCCCAGCCCAGGAGTCAAGAAAGACTACTTGGTGAGCTGAGGATACCGTGGAACGCAAGGCTGAGCGCGAATGACTGATGAAGCAAACTCAGGCACCTCCAGGGGCTCAGTGCCATTTCTAAAGATAAAGAGATTACTTTAAATCCTTGTGGACAAGGGAAAATTACTTAACCCTAGAGTTA